TTCCAGTCTCCCTTGTCTTTGCCAGCAATGCTATTTGCCTAGACTACTTTCCGCTGTGGTTCAAAAAGGTTCTCTACCATTTCGACTATGGCCTGGGAGCAGATAAACTGGTTCATGCTCAAAATACTACCTTGTTCGAGGTCATAGTCGTTCAACTTAGCTACCGTTCAACATGCTCGCATTGGCAAAGCTGTTACAACATCCTCGCCTATTATTTCATTAAAAATGTTATATTTGCAGAAACGACACACACACACACACACACACCTATATTAGCTGGTTCACCTTCGCTACCCTTCAACATCCTGGAATTGGACAGGCTACTGCAACACCTTCGTCTATCATTTCCTTAAAAAAAGTACTGGGAGCAGAGCTTGAGTAGGCGCGTTCTTACTCCCCCACATATCCATATATGCTCCCTTACTGCCCTATTCCGCTGGCTTCTGATCATTTCTGTGTTCCTGCAGTTCGCCTTCAGTCGACGTTTTCACACGTTCTCCTGCACACAACTTTCCCATACTGCACACCGAATGACCTTGGCTTTCATTGGTTATTAATCCACACGATCAGTGAATTCTCACGATTGCGCGCCCGGTGAATTATTTAATTCCGTCTTATTTATAACGCGTTATTTTTCGAATATTTTTTTGGATTTACATTGTCGGTGTATAGCACAGCTTTAATTAAATTTAACTAAATTTCACAATTTTTACACTTATTCCGAAAAATTCTTGAATTACCTATCGTAATTCACCACCCGTGAAACTCCCTACTACCACGTTCCCGTAGGCCAGAATGATGGGGCTACCTAAGTACCTAGGCATATACGATTTTAGCCCATGTTTTGTTTTAAAGCAACTTGAGGCTTGGCTTGTGCAGGTCCACACAGGTTCATGAAGTGCAGTGCCTTTGTAACTTACATTATAAATCCATCATCACTCATTTCGCGCCGTTTTTAACCCCCAGACGAGCTGAATGATGAGGATACGGACTCGGACTCGGACACGGACCGTGAGATTGCTGAGGAGGAGGCACGTATTTACGCAGTTTCTGGCGGTCCTGGTGGGGAGGTCGTCTACCACGCGCGTCGTTCAGCGGACAACACTGATGCAGCACATGCAAAGGTGGGTCTCTAGCATGGCCTGCTGCTACTGTTTGCTCGCTTTTTTGATGTGGTTCAATGAGCCGAGGCCCTATGCCCGTGCAGAAATCACATATATAATCATACTACTCGTAATGAGTGAGTAACGATGTATGTTTACACTTTCTTTTAATTAACGGCTGACAGCCGTCGTTTTAGCGGACAACATTGATGCAGCGCATGCAAAAGTTGGTTCCTAGCACGGCCAACTACTGCTGCTGTTTGCTCGCTTTTTAGTGTAGTACAATAAATGGGGGTACTGTGGTATCCAAGGCAACGTTTTTAAGCAGGCTGCAAAAAGGAATTGTTAGTCACACTGAATCCTAATGGGTACCAGTAGAAAGTGGTGTTCCGCAGGGCTAAGTCTTAGGTCCTCTCCTGCTCCTCCTTTATATAGACGACTGCACCGAGAATCCTAACTGCAATAGCATGATGTTTGCAGATGGTATAAAAATGTGGGCAACCATTAGCTCTACTGGCTACGCGAAAAAAACTAGAGGATAGCCTTGATGAGTGACTTTTGATCCTTTATATGACAAAATGTGTGTAGTCCTACTTTTTAAACCTGGGCCCAGAAATCACTCTTAACAACAGTACTCTTCGAACGGGACTCCTCTAGAATAAGTGGACACACAAAGACCTAGGTATTTAGACAACTTCAAAGGCTACGAGCATTATGCACTGGATCAGGTGTGCTTTTATTATGTTTCCATCGTAACTGTTTGCGCAGCTCTTCAGTGCCTTCGTTAGACCGCATTTGGAATACGGAATGCCAGCGTGGATGCCGTGGATGAAGAAGACCAGCCGTCCAATAGAGCAGGTGCAACGACAGGCCACAAATCGGTGGACGGTCTTAAGCCTCTGTCTTATTCCGAAAGACTGATTAAGTTTAACTTGTTTCCCCTATCTTATAGACAACTTAGGTCTGACCTCTTACGGACATTTCTGTTCGTTTAAATCTAAGGGTTTGTTTGAGCCTACAAACATGACTCACCTGCGCGGTCGTCCGTACAAGGTCAAACGTGAATGTACACATCGATAACCTTGTAAGTTTTGCTTCAGTCAACGGGCGGTTCGATCTTGAAACTCCCAAGCGAAAAAGTGGCGACGGATACTGTTTCTGTCTCGTCTCTTGACTTCTCCGACTGTATTCAACAGCCACGCGTACCTCAAAACCAGTGATAAAAACTATCAAGGTGGTACGGTACTACAGTAGTCGCCGGCTATTAAGCCCACCTCG